TGTAAGTCTATATATGTGTATATATACGCAATTATAAATATAAATTCATCTGTTATTATTATTTCTTCCTTTCACTGTAAAAAGCAGTTCATCATCATAGTGCAAGCCCAGGCACACACAGAGAGTCTCCAAGAACACACACACACAATGGAGTAGCAATAATAATTATTATAGGATAAACACACAAAACACAGATTAACATTAAGAAACAAAAAAAGAAAAGAAAAAGAGAATCCCAACAGGTGAAAGATTAGTTAGACTGTAGTGTGGATGCATGCAAAAAAGAAGAGAAAACAAAGGATGACCTGAGTCACAACACCATCACACAATCAGCACACAAGAATACAGGCCAATGTATTCACCGTCAATAGTGGTACACGCACCCACACAGAACTGCTGATACTGCTGCTGCTGTCTGCATCACCCTTCTTGTTGTTTGTGAGTTCAGGTGGAAGTGTTGTTGTTGTTGTTGTGGTGGTGGTGGTGGTAGTGGTGGTGGTGGTGGTGGTGGTGGCATCTTCATTTCCGGCACTTCCTTCTTCGTTGCTTGTGGACTCACTCTGGGCATTTGTGGCAATATTTCCATTCGCTCCAGTACCGTTTTCACTGGCATTCTCTGTGTTCGAATTGGTGGTTTGGGTTACAGAAGAGGAGGAAGGCTGTGTGTTTGGAACATCTTGAGGATGTGTATTGCTGCTCTGAGCATCGCTTGCACCAGCTTTATCATTCTCTGCGTTTTCATTCTTTGTTTCTTCGGCTGTTGTTTCTTTAACCGCGCCACTGGGTTCGTGTGTTCTATCATTGGTAACTGTTTCTTGTTCAATGACAGGTTGTTTTTGATTCTCTTCGTCACCTTGGTGACTTCCTTCTCGTTCATTTTCTTTCCTTTGTCCAGGTTGTTCTCTGATCTGTTCTGCCGTGGAAACAACAGGGTCACCATGAGCACTTCCTACTCGGTTTGTGGTGGTTGGCAGATCTGTACCTTTCCCAAGTTCATTTTGTGCCGTTTGACCTTTTGCAAGAGGAGGCACCTCCTTGGATGGTCCTTCGCACGGTTTCTTTGCTTCTTCTCCTGACCCACACTGAGTTTCCCCCACAGTTGCTTCCACGACTTCTCTCCTCTCCTCACGGTTCTTAGCACCAGGCTGAGGATCTGGGTTTAGAACCTCACCATCAAGTGGCCCTCTAGCTTCTTCTGCCGCTACCACAACACTGCAGACACAACACAGTGCGATGGTCAGAACACAAAGCACACAACGTACGGCCATGATTACTTTTTTTGTTGGTGTTACTATATAAATATATTCAGTGGTCCAAATATGATGAAGAAAGGAGTAACAGAAACACAGATAATGTGATAAACATCAAACAACAGAAAACTATTGCAACACACACACACACACACGAGAGAAATTGCCAACTATAACTCAGATTGAGTCCAAATTAAAGGGTACAAAGCACACAATACCCAGTAATCAAAAGATAATCCCAATAAACTCCTTAATAAAGAAAAAGAAAATTTATGAAAACGACCAACAAGAGCAATAAGCAGGGAAATAATTAACAGTGACTCTCTATCGGTCACACCAAGCACAATT